AAAAAGTAAATTACTTTGCCCAATAACACGGCACTGTTTTGCATATTTGCGCAGTGGAAATTTATATGCGATGCTTTCTTTCACGTTCGCAATTATCGAAACATCTCAGCAGAATCCGTCAATTGCAACAAAGTGTCATAAATAATCGCCGAAAAATGTTTTACCATTGGTTGATGTTCTTTGCGCCGAGAATTCCTCATTTGCATGTTTGCTGATATAAATACTGCATCATTGCTCTTCACTCGGTATTCGTTATTGAGTATTTTATTCGTAATGCCACCAAAAACTCCAGGTAAAGGTGCGAAGAAAGGCGGCAAGGCCAAGAAGGCCCGTGGTGGTCCGAAGAACAGAAGACGACGCAGAAGAGAATCCTATGGTATTTATATATACAAGGTCTTGAAACAAGTTCACCCAGATACTGGTATTTCTTCAAAAGCAATGTCCATCATGAACAGCTTCGTCAACGACGTATTTGAACGTATTGCCTCCGAAGCTTCCCGACTGGCCCTATATAACAAGCGTAGTACAATCTCCAGTAGAGAGGTTCAGACCGCTGTTCGTCTCTTGTTGCCCGGTGAGCTTGCCAAGCATGCTGTCAGCGAAGGCACCAAGGCAGTCACCAAATATACAAGCTCTAGATAAAATCTGTGTAGTGCACGGCACACACAAACCAAACGGCCCTTTTCAGGGCCACCACATCCTTCCAAAAGAGAACTACCGTACAATTTACATTTGCATGCACTAGCTCGTTATTGAACCTATCAATACATCAACTCAACTTGATCTTATTTTAATCAGATTGACTGCATGGTAAAGTAGTGTTAAATTTCAGTAAACTGCGTCATTCAAAACGACGCTTAGTAACTGATATATATATATATAGAAGATAATATTTGGTAATCGTAGTCCTAAATAACTTTGAATTTAGTGGTGCTCGTTCATGTATATATGAAATATACAAAAAATGACTTAGAATCCATGTGAAACAATATAAACTTTAAAATACACTAGTATTTTCTATAAATCGCACCCTCTAGTGACGGAGGTGTTTTATGACGTAAGTAGGTTACGCAAATATCGAGATATTTCACTATATATGTACTATTGGACCAATTTGAATGACGTTGCCTTCAACATGTACATAAACGTACCACCACAAGAGGGCGCGGTTCATAATAATGGTGGACACGACGGTTTATGTAAAGGTCTCATGCCACGAATCAACCAATGGCTGCTCAATTTAAATGCCTTGCAAGAACCAATGAAATGTTTTAAATATTTTAAATATTTGTTTTCTCAGGTGCGTAATCACCTGGGTTAAAGGTGAGACCAACATGTGGTCTTTTGTTTACTACTTAGCGGCTGTGTACCTGTGGGTTTATTCTGTGTGTATTTGGATGTTCTAATCTTGGTGTTTTTCCAGTGATTTCTCTAGGTGCAATCCAAATACAGTAGGTGTGTCTTGTTTACCTGAGATTTGTAAGAGTTTGAGCTGGCCAACATGTTAGTTTTTTTCATGTGGTTGATTAATGGCATGTTGATTTCCCATTTTTGAGCCATGTTTTCAACTTCATCATTTTCGAGTTTCATAAAGCAATTTCGCCATATGTTAACATTGTCGTCTATGGAAATTCAATTAGTGGCATGAGCCCTATACCGGTATATATAACATGTACAGAATATGAACTTTGAATCCTCAGGCACGAGAAAATTAAATGTAATATTATATTCATATGGTTGTGTATTAAAACAATTCCATAGATTAGAATTACTAAAGTATTACATACTGATAGTAAATTAATGATAATATTGAATGAATTCACTGTATAAGAAAATTATTTCTACGGTAATAATTAGAGTTAACAAATGTTTTAGCCATTTTTATATTCTTTGTCTTGATCAATTAATTAAATTCATTCAAAAGCCTGTTATATATCTAGTTTTGTCATCATGATTAGCCGGTTTCGTAATAAATGAAATAGGTATTTAAATAAAAAAAAAAACACTTTTAAAATTAGAAAGTAAATGATCGCAGATCAGCCAGGCAAGTTGTAGGTGAATGTAATCAGAATCAGTTAGAGTAATACGACTAAATACTAGAGTGACACGAAACTCACAACTTTTGCAAAAAATGTGTGTTCTAACTCGAATACGCATTATGTATACAAATACATGTATACAGTTATTTCTATACGAGTTCACGCAAACTTTATATGAAGTTTCGGGGTAACTACCTTGGAAAAATTATAAGGATGTTTCGCCAGTATCTTCAGATTCCTCTTTTTAAGAGTCAGTCAAAATGCGAAAAATGTACACAACTCCCCAAACTATGAATCGTTTTTTTTAAATGCTACCGGAAAACAACGCTTTATACCGATTTTTAAGGTGCAGATGCATATTTATAATTTCAGTAATGAATGCTGAAGTTGTACACCCCTCCACAGTCACCCCTCCCCGGAAAAAGACACCATTCCAAACAATTCGCATACAGTGTTTATGTAACTTCGAGCATGTATCTTTTTTGTGATGTGGCGCCATCTAGCGGCAAATAAAATATAAAAACAAAAGTCAAATTTGAGCACTGTGACACGTGTTTCAAGGCTCGCTTACGTAGATTGGAATTCCAGTACAAATGCGAAAAAAATACAGTTTCGATGTTTCAACGGTGAAAAATTGAAAGTGTTTTGCAGTCTACATTTTTTTCATACTGCCTGCAGTAAACTTCAACACGCTTTTTCCTTCAACTTTGACCGAATTGTGTGTCCAGAAATATTGAATAAAAATGTCGGTGTTGAAATATGACTGAAAAATACTAATTACGATGAGTTACACTATGATCCGCCACCCGACGGCACTTTTTTCTAACGTGGTCGAACGTGTAGGCAATAAATTATTATTATGAACTTTCGTTCATAGTAGGTCAAAACTCGTGTATCTTATACTGTGTTTTCATTTGGTCTCGGTAATTCGCATAATTGTAAATTATCATGGTTGTCGATAGGGGGCTCTTCAATAGGGCTTTAATTACAATAACATTGAATTTCGCGCTTATTCGAAATGCGAACAATTGATCAAAAAATTAGCATAAAAAAATCCCTAACGTCACACACTGCTTGCTTTTTCATCGCCGCTGATGAGGGCGCATTTTTTGGGGGAAAAGCCTGTGACCGATATCGTAGCTGGCGCTGTGATGATAGAACGTCCGCGCGAGTGTGAGGAGCCAGCCGGCTAGTAGTACTAGTCTTCTTGTCTTCCTTGTGTCCCGTTTCAAGGTAGTATTCGATATGTATATTGTAATTGTTACTTGCGCGTGTATGTTTCCTTTGGTAAATACCTACATTCGATGATTTTACACAGTGCGTTAATAGTGCTGCGCAAAACAACGCGTACCAACACTGTAGGATCAAACTTGGACAGCTAAACATGGCGAAAGAAATATTAGCTTTGCTGTAAGTGGAAGAGTCGTGCGTGCGTGGAGAGAAACGTAATATTTATGTCAATATAATTAATATTTCAAATGAAAAAAATATATATATATTTGCGAAGATAACCCTACCAACCAATACCGCTAACGAAGCATAATACGTATTTGATGTCAAACACAATCACTGAACACGGCCGGGGAAGCCTCGCTTGAACGGTAGCGTGTATAACCCGAGTAATCTAACAACGAGAAGCAATATGTACCGACGATGTTACAACTTGCATTCAGGTCAGGAAAGCAGCGACATTAAATAAGCGAACGGCAGATTTATGATTGACGGCAGCGAGAACAAACAAATAAAGTAATTACATACAAAAGGCGAGACACGGACACAAACAAAAATTGGGCAATCTCGTGGGCGTCAATCGGTAGAATATGATAGAACTCGTTATGTCGGGGCACTGTGTACGTACACGCTATTATCAATCAGCGCTATTCAACGTAAACATTATAGCCGACATATAGCCTGATTTTTCATATAGAAAAGACCAAATACTATAAAGATCCGGTTATTGGTGGACAACACATAGTGACAATCTTAATAGGCCTTCTTTTATGCGGTCCATATTTAGTTCAATTAGCAAGACTTGCACGGTACAAAGGAATCGTCTGCTCCGCTTATTCTTGTAACACCGTTGGACAAAAGCGTTCCCCCCACAAGCTGATTAGAACTACCGACTTTCACTCGATATAATGCTAGTAATTGTGCTAGTCAATGACGATTAATGTCACGGAGATTAAGGCCAGTACATCCCGCCTGTACCACGTCATCATCTGGATTGTATCTCCGGGTGAAGAAAGCAGTCACGGTAACAAGGTTTCCTGTATCCCACATCATCTCATAGTAAAGGCGAGAGCAATTGCATTAGAAAGTAATAGACAACAAAGAAAGGGAAAAACGCTAAAACTAGAAGTATGGAAGTTTTTTTTTTTTTTTAAAGAATACGCGTGCATGTTCTCCTCCTTACAGACATCGTAATTAAATGGGAATTCGTCTGACATGGAAAGGTTTCAAAAGACCGGCATTGTTCCTATTATTTCGACAAGGTTTTTTTTTCGGCTATATAGAAAATCGTTTTGCCATCTTCTTCCATCAATCAAAACAGTGTCTGTGTTGAATAAAAATATGTCACGGTGTTAACGGGTGCGTATATTTTCACCTTCGAACCGGAGAGCGGGTGTATCATTCCGCACTTCCCTGGAGAAGCTCACGGGCGTATCATTCCGCATACTTTGAGGACCGCGCCATGTAGATGAATACATCTCTAATAATGTAGAACACGAGAACCTAGATGGACGCCTATTACACATCGCGTTGCGTGTTTCTTTACTTGCGGTGTTTTCTCCGACTTTATCAACGACACCGTATACTCAACAAAAAACCAGTTTAAATGTGAAGAATGTATTAAAATTAAACGAATTTACGTTCCGTTTACCGTTATATGATTTGAATAAATGACACATCAAAACTCCTAAAAGTCTTTTTTAGCAAAACTACGAGAATTGAAAATACATACTAATATTTAGCTCTCCATACATTTCTATTGTATCAATGACACGAAAGAAAGATATACACATGGTCGGACCACACAAATATGCATGCGTATATTGTTATTACGATATACCATAGTTTTATCTCCACAAAGCATATATATATGACATTTGTTTGTCACTGAATTCGATTTATGCCCGTGTTGTGTATTCACAGACACCAGACAACACAAATAAGCAAGTTAACAATAACATCACATACGGCGTCCGAGCTGAAAGATACACACGCAGCCGTAGCAAGAACGCCACCTTGTTAATGATGCCACAGTAGATAATGCATCTAATAAGGGAAAAGGCGCTAGTAAAAATCAATAATAAACATATTTCATATATGGCCGTTAATTTTAATCATCTCTTGATGAATGTATCATTTCCTCAGTTTTATACAGTCATTCTACAAGTTTTCGCACGAACTAAGAATGAGCAGGTGAAAAAAGATGAAAAACAGATTTTAATGTTTCCCGCCACTATCACGATATGCTAAGATTCGGAGCTATACCTTACTGAGCTGTAAAATGTTTTTTAGGGGGAGGGTAGAGCGCCTTCCCCGTTGCATGGAAGGGGTGGACATCCTGAAGTACAGACGTCTCTAACGCTGTAAAAGATA